GACGGACAACAAAGTGATCCGGGTTCCGTTTTTTCCTTTTGAGGTACGGAACCCTAAAAATAAGAAAAAAATAACGTTTCAAGAAAAACTTCATAAACACTACGCTTGTCACGCAGAGGGGTAGGCGGGGACTACAAACTTCCATTTGGTACAATCATGACACATCTATCCCACCTCCTTTACGAACGCATACACGCTCGTCTTAATTTGGCCCATCTATAATACATATAATACATTTTACGTGGTAGAGCTATGCTGCAGCCATATTAGTAGTAGGCACAGTTGTAGTACGAATGGGTCGGCTCGACCGGGGAAGGGCCACGCTCTCACAGAATACCAACCTAAAATAGCAGCTTAACGCTGCTGTGTTTCGTATGGTGAGTGTAGAGAACCGGAGACCCTTTTTACTGGAAACGAGGCATTACATCTTAGTCCTCACGGGTGACAACGCATCTGCATTTTGATTTGTAATAGAGGATAGATGTAGATGTCTATGGGTCGCAGCAACCACTTACCATCAGGTGGACTGTGTGCTCGTTAGTCACCTTTATCCTATAAAAAAACATCGCCAAATTTGGTCGATAAAATTGGCTAATGACATGTGAGTCTAATACATTTATTTTAGTATTGAAATAATAATTTGATTATAATTTAGCCTTAAAAATATCAACATAACTACCATTAACCTGATATGCTGGTAATTTTATCACCTTATAGGACAATGAGTCAAGCAATCTTTAGAAACATAATCAACCAGTGTATAATTTTCGAACAGTTGTGCTTGGACTGCAGAATTGCACTACCTAATAGGGGGGATCATACCATATGTGGGTTGGCAGTCAAAGTTTTTGTTATTTTCTGTTGTTATCAAGAAGATGCTGTTGTCCATCTCCTGTTATAGTTTCCCTCTGTTGCTACTTGCAACACCCACGTGATAATATGGGGCAGTGGATGATCTTCCACCAATACACCATAATATATTATAGGAAGCACCACATTCGTCAATAATCAAGCAGCTGTTCGTAATGTATTCTGTATTGTCATCTAAATAATCCTCATCGTATATGTTAAAGAGATTTTATTCAACTCCGAGGAGGAGTTTTTATCTTGAAGATCAGATCTTGGCCTGTTCTACGTTATTTTTTAATATTTGGCGTTTCTTGCCTTCAACCTTCTAACTTACCTTCTAACAGGTTTCTCGGTAGTAGTCTTTTTTTCTTCTTTCTGCGTTCTGTTTGTTTGCTTTTTATTTGATTTTGTTGCTTTTCTGTTTTCCTTACCATTATCAGAATTAGTTTTTTTATTTACATAACACAATAATATACAATATTTATTTAAAGTACTTGCGACCGAGATTAAAAGAAATTATCAAGCTAACTTTGACAGAGCACTGAATAATTGTTCTAATAAATAGATATAGCCATGGTGCAGCTATATTAGTAGTATAGTTCTAGCGCGATTGGGTCGGCTCGACCGGGGAAGGACCACGCTCTCACAGAATACCAGCGTAAAATAGCAGCTTAACGCTGCTGTGTTTCGTATGGTGAGTGTAGAGAACCGGAGACCCTTTTTACTGGAGAAGAGGCATTCCATCTTAGTCCTCACGGGTGACAACGCATCTACATTTTGAGTCTTTATTGAGGATAGATGTAGATGTCTATGGGTCACAGTAACCACTTACCATCAGGTGGACTGTGTGCTCGTTTGTCACCCTATCCTATAAAAAAAAACAATTCTCAGGTGTCTGAAAAGTAAATATACTTCCTTTATACGTATATAGAGCCGTTCCCGAAAAAACAGTGACATATTATATTAGAAATATACATGTTTTTATTAATTTTTATTTATTTACAAAATTTATTTTGTAAAAGATGTGATGATTGTGATGTGTGATTGCATATCAATGAAACAAGCAATTATCATAATCATCATCATTACAACCCTTCACAAGTCCACTGCTGAACATAGGCCTCTCCTAAGGATACCATAAATCACGATCCTGAGCCACTTGCATCCATCGACCTCGGACCTCCTGCATGTCTCACTCACTGTCGTCACTCGATCTAATGCGTAGCCACGTTACACTTAGCCAATCCGCTTGCCAAGCGTGGCCAGCTATGCCAAAAATGAGAAACGACACAAAAAATAAATTATAACCTACTTGTAAAAATTGCTATAAGTATTTTATTATATTAGAATATGACGGTAAATAACCTTTATACTATGGCAATTTAAAATTTTGGCCGAATCAAATATCTAAACTAGCGATATATTTTATATATTTTAAAAGAACCATCCAAGTCACCCCACCCCCTATAAAATTTTCATAAAAATCGGTCAAGCCATTTAGAAGGAGAAATATTACGTTCACATCATGTACACCAAAATTCTACATAAAATATATAGATAAATAAGATTCCTTTAACATTACAACTTAGGATTACTGTTAACAATTTTAAATTAAAGCTACATAATAATCATAATCCGTAACCGTAATTGTCCTGATATAATTTAAAATAAAAAAAAATTGTACAACCAACTTATATATAAATTATTAAGAATAACTCAAAAACTATTGGGTAGACCTTGATCAAATTTATATGGAACCACATGTGAAGCACCAGCTTTCAAATAAAAAAAGAATCATCGAAATCAGTTCATTTAATAAAATGTTATGAGGGGTAACACAAAAAAAAAACATACAGTCGAATTGAATACCGGCTCCTTTTTGAAGTCGGTAGAAAATAAAATAAATTATCACGCCTAGTGGTATGCTTCTCTCGGAAAAACTTAAAACAGTTTTCTGATGACTCATTGGATTCGGTTTTATCAGTAAATACTCAAATACACTATAGTATATAACCAGGTCTTGCATCGCAGTATTCATTCATTTAGACCACCGACAATAAAGCAGACTCAGTCTCTCGTTTTGCGTCAAATTGAACGCACGCGCTATTTTCGTTATAAAATCTCTTGGCCGTGGTATTTGTGACTGACATTAACATATAGTGTTGAGAGCTCTGTTCAACTTGTGATTTGTTTTTTTATCTTGTAAAATCAACCAAACTAAGATATTCACTGTTTGATAAAAATATAGCACAACAAAATCAAGGTAAGACTTATTTTTAAACCAACTAAATTTTACAAACAAGCAGACAGTCCACCTAACGGTAAGTGGATGTTGATGCCCATATACACCTTAAACTATCCTAGTTTAAGAATCAATATGCCTTGTCATACGTGAATATCAAGATATTCTCTTCAACTCAAGAGAAAGAGCAAATTGTAATTTACATTTGTCCTTAATTGGTAGTACCTAGTAATAGTATTTTGTCGGATCCGTTATCAGATGATGCCAAAAAACTGTATTTGTTAGTTAATAAGAGATTAAGTAACTAGTAAGTATTAAGTTAATTTGTTAGTAATTATTATATTTGAGATTTTTTCGTAACTACCAGGGCGGCATAATCGCATCAGTGACAAAGCCCTTTATCTATGAATAAAAAAAAGACATTCTCTTCACTCACCAAATGAAAACACAGAAAGCAATAAGTTGGCCGCGCTATTCCAATATATCACTCAAAACTATTCAGAATACTTAATTTTTTAGACAAGCAAGTTTCATGACGATGTTTTCTTTCACCTCCAAAGAAGTAAACTAGTACTTAAAATTACAATTAACAATTTCCTTGCTGCCGGCGGCGATCGCACCCGGACTATACAAAAAAAATATGCTAGTTAATCTACCTAAATAGCACATTTAAACTAAAAATAACATGTTTCTGATCGTAACAGAAAGCGTCGTTACTTTCTATGGAACTGCTTTCTTTATTAGTCAGTGCTTATCTCAACTTGAAAGTGTTTGACAACAGTTATTTAAGTAAGTAAGTTGAAATATACTTACTTACTTAATTAACTGTTGTCAAACACTTTCAAGTTGAGATAAGCACTCAAGCAATACTCAATTGTTATTTTTATGCTTCATGTTAAAATTTACATTGGACTTTTTCCAGCTTTAAGCCCGCTCTCAAAAATGAGAGGTGCCCAGCTATGAGAAGTGTATGAATATAATGTTCCTTTACTTTTATTCACTTTTACGTACGTGATAATGGTGAAGGAAAATATCGTGAGAAAATTTGCAAAAAAACGGGATATGTGACGAATTCCACTAATGCGCATTCCGGTACTCCGTCGTATTTCATAAACCTCTCAAAAACGAGATATCGATGTACTAACTGCTTTAAAGTGATTTTTATTATAAGTATCAGCGATAAAAGAAAAATTGTTATTAAATTATTAACACGTTTGAAGAAAATTTGTAGAGAATAGTACGTTAGATTTATTTGAGAAATCCAAATATATTCATAAAAAATCTAGTGAATATTCTATTTCCTATTCTATTTTAGAGAAAACGCAGCAAGTGTTTTACCAATTTAAAACAATATTATTTTTATTTAATTCATTGCAATAAAAATATTGAGTAAGAATTAATGATTTAAAAAATATCCACTATATATATAAATTTTTATGTTGGTTAATATATACGAATACATTTATAAATGCAAGAAGTACTCAACATTACTTGGTGTTCGATGGTAAGAACATTTAGAACAAACCTAAATGTTTGCAAAATAAAATATATTTCGAATACATATAAAGCATATACCGTGTAGTAGTGGTGTAAGAATATTCATTACCTCATATAGTCCTATGGGACTAGTAAGAGACGCCCGAGGGAAACAAACTAGGGGAAGGGCAGCAGTATCTTCCTAATAACAAATAAAAAACTAAAAAGAAACGGTTGCCAATCCGTTTGCAGAACAACTATAATAACTAAAAAAAAAACAACGGTAATATTGAGACTTGCAGCGTAAATGTGTCCTGTTATAGGCCTATGCCCTCTTATGAACGTCTACAGACTTTACTTAGTTTTTACTTAGTATAATCTTATCGTGTTCATAAATTTCCAAAAATCTTTATTCAGCAATGATTTTTGTTACAGATGAAAGTGGCCGTGGTGGTGCTAGGACTTCTGATTTTCGTAGCAATATCTAACGCTCGGCCAGATCTAAGTCATTCTGATTCTTCTATCCTCGAAGATGAAAGAGAAGAGGAGTCTGGATATGTAGAAAGAAATCAAGAATATGACGGAAGACGAAGAAAGACGAGACATTCACGTCAAATTTTTAACGGGTACGACTATCCATGGCCTCCGTCTTATGAGAGTCATAAAAACCTTCGGCTTTTGGAAGAGATTCTCTTTCAAGTGAAAAAACTTACCGAAGAGGTTTCGGGCTCTTTGAAAAGTTTTCGCCAACAGCCTGGATATACTCCACCTCAACCCATTTACATTCCATACCCTATTTATTTACCAGCTCTAGGCTCAAAATGCTTCAACGGTGTAAATAATAACTCAAACAATGTGCCTGATACTAATACTAGATTTTCTGAAAATATTGATAAAAACCAAATATGGGGAATTGAGCAAGGTGAAAATAATGTAGATAATGATGACTTTGATGGAACGAGACCAATTTCTTTGAAGCCGCTTGATTTAAACCGGCCCCAGGGCAGGCCGATACCTCCTGTTGACCATGGCAGTTCTCAAGCAGGGGTGAGTAAAACATTTATTAATTTTGGAAATGAAAATTCATTACAAATAAATAAGTATTAGTTTAAAAAAATGGAAAAAACGGACATTAAATATAATTATTTAGACTATCTAAAAATACCACAGGTTACACAGAAAGTTTTGCGAAGATAGTTTTTTATATGAGACACTGACCATATAATTTATTTTAAGATATATAAAAATTTAAATTATTATACAGTCCTAGTCCGTGGTATCGTGCCAAGAACGCTGGCTGCGTTTCCTCGCTGAATGGCTATACCTAGCCTTTGAGCGAGAAAAGAATCAGCCCTCTTATCACCAGCAGCGACGGCCAGTCGTGGATACAGTTTCTTTGGGAACTTCACCGCACGTAGACCTCACGGACCGATGTTTCTACAACAAAGGGCGCAAATATGTATTCATCTCTCAAAGACTCATACTTGCGCCATTTACTTAATTCAGCTGCCTCTGACGCCGCCCCGGCTCTAAACGAGGTACTCTGATCTCAAATGAGAGGCTGTCAAGTAGTATCCCACACGAGGCCTTTAATTATCTCTCAAGGGAACAAAGTCATACCGTCTCTTGACGGGTCTCTAAATATTCCACAAGTCTCTAAAACCGAGAGAACATTTAAAGTGATAAGACCTCTTTCGATGACATCGTTCAAAGAACAGTGACGGGAAAACCTACCTGCACTTTTCTTACATGAAAGTCCGTGGAGCCCAAACACGTCGATGCTTCTGCACGTTGACAAATTGCCGCTCCTAGACGTATTATTACGGCGATGCGCAAGATTTCAAGTAATGTACCGAGATTACTTCATGGTAAAGCGCGTAACCAGTGACTAGATTTCTTGGTCTCTAAACAGCTAGAAGTCGGGCCTGATCTTGGTCACTATGAAAATTATGAAACAAGATTTTCTGTACACTCAGTACCAACGGTTTATCACAATGTTTTTGTTGGTTAACTACAGAGGAACTTTTCGCCGGGTCAGAGCGTTAGCCATCTACCTCCGCAGCAAAGCACAGGTCTACTTTAATAATTGACAGTTGAAATATAGCATTCGGCGGTATTTCAGCATTACTTTTCTAATAATTCGTGTAATATACATTTATTTTTCCAGGATGTAACAACTGCCGCCCCGACATTTACAACCAAGTCGCCGATACAGGAGCCCGGTATTTGTGAAGCCGCTATCCTTTCTTGCTGTAGATTTAGCGATTCGAAACAGAAACAATGTTTCACAGAATATGGCTGTGTTAAAACGTACTCTACAGGGGTTGCTTGCTCGCCAAAAGCAATTCAAGCGGTAATTCAGAACTTTAAAAATGCATATGCGCCTAGATGATCACATACAAAATAAAAGAAAACTTATTATATCACCTAACAGTATTATATGATATAATTAATTTACAATATTAAGGTGGAACTAATAAATTTTCCACAGTAGACTTTTTCGACGATTTATCTAACAAATGAGCTTAGATCGATTTTTCTTTCCTACTAGCTAGTATTTTTTAATCATTTAAAATCGAACTCAAAGCGATTTTCGTTTCCTATTACTGAACTCTGAAATTGTTATTGTATTTTATTAAAACATATTATAATTTAGTAATATTGTATTTGATGGAATAACTTCGATATCGTTTGGCGTTAACTTGATATTATATTAAACAGGAAAACGAATGTAACAAAGTTATGATGCCTAATATGTTTCTTAGGCGTAAAATATGATAAAAACGGCACGGCTTATCTACTTAAATAATAGACAACGGTGTATACGTAAGCTAAGTCTACACTATAAAAAATTTATATTTACTTAAAATACGACCATGTATTCCAGGAGTTCTTATCAGCAAATATGAGTGCGTTGTATTGTCGCCTTATCAAACATTATGCATCATTATCGAACACAAGCTGTGTTAATTTATTTACTAAGGAGAACTAAAAGTATTAAATTATTTCTATTATACAGTTGAAATTTAAATCGCATTTAGCGCTATGCATTATGTAATTGTTCATATTAAGATGCCATAGAAGTTCAGTGTATGTGATTGTTAACAAATAAATGTATAATTAGGTATAATTTGTGTTAAATGTATTGTGTAGTCATTAACTGCAAAATTTCACTCCGATATGTGCAGCTTTTATTAGGCATTTAACGATATTTATTATTAATTAATTTATACACTTGTCAATTGTGCCTAGTCTATTATACATTTTTTAATAATTAAGTCAAAAAACTTACATTGTTTTATTATTTCCTACATTTTTTTATATACAAGTACATTTCATTTATTATTCATTCAAAATTCAATCCACACATGTGGATAGTTAACGGTTCACTGACCATATCCAGAATTTTTTGCCTTGCACAACGACACTCTTCTTCCACTTCCACAAGAAGCTGTTGTGATCAACGATTTCTTTCGGACCGATATGGCTTAGGTATCTTCAATAAAAGAGCCTACTGCTTCATAAGGTCTTCTAAAGGTCAGCAAGTATCTGCTATCCCTCCGTTGGAGCAGATGTTGTTCTGTTGGGGTAACTTTAACATCAGGTGAGCCGCTTGCTCATTTGCTCCCTATAAATAAGTATGCCTTTTTCTCTGATATTTGCGTCATTAACTTGTTATTATTACATGCTAACCTCGCTGTATTGCAAATGGTGCAGTTGTTATGTTGTGTTTACGGAACAAGTCACATAACAAGGCAAAAAATAGACCGAGGCCAAACGCTTGGCTTAAATTTCATTGTAAAGGAAAACTCTTGTTGGAAATCGTCAACTGAAATTTTAATTTTCTAAGTAAGGCTTCTTTTCTGCTTCGAGTCAATAGTTCATCTGGGTAGAATCTATTTATGCATTACATCTTATAAAAAATTTCTGCTGAAAATAGGTCTCTCCCATAGCTTGCCTCATAGGGGGGATTTCACCATAGTTGTCACGCTTGGCAGGCGGGCTGGCGACCGCAATTTTTTTATAGGATAGGGTGACAAACGAGCACACAGTCCACCTGATGGTAAGTGGTTGCTGTGGCCCATAGACATCTACATCTACATCTATCCTCGTTTGCGAATCAAAATGCAGATGCGTTGTCATCCGTGAGGACTAAGATGGAATGCCTCATTTCCAGTAAAAAGGGTCTCCAGTTCTCTAGACTCACTATACGAAACACAGCAGCGTTAAGCTGCAATTTTACGCTGGTATTCTGTGAGAGCGTGGTCCTTCCCCGGTCGAGCCGACCCAATCGCGCTACAACAATACTACTAATATAGCTGCACCATGGCTATACCTATTTATTAGAACAATTATTCAGTGCTCTGTCAAAGTTAGCTTGATAATTTTGACAGCTCATGCTTATGAAGTTCCGTATTTTTTTTAGAAACTGTTATACAGGTATTGTACTTCATGGATGGTTACCACCCACTTAGGATAGTGATGTGCCACGCCAAACTATGCCATGCCATAACGAACAATTACAGATAGATAATAACGTAAATATGTATTGGAATTGGCTCTTTATTGGCAAAATATGTTCTATTAACGGTATTGATTGCGTGTCAGCCTTATATTGTCAGATGTTATTCTCAAAAAAAATATGGAAATTAAAAATAGTATCTATAATTGACTCCAATATTACCACAATATTGGAGTCTGCAGCCCGTCTCTTCTGTCGGTCAGCCATTTTGTAATCAGTACGAGTTTTGACGCCGCGCCGTTAGTGCCTTGTATAGTTTTTGTTCAGTTTTTGTTATTTTCTGCTATCTACTGTTTTTGTTGAGTTTTTTGTTGAGTTTATGTTACTTTTGGTTACAAAATGCCGAAAAGAACGAAGAAAACTGCTTTGAATAGCGAATGTCGCGAATTTGTGGTTAGTTTGGGATTATTTTGAACGTGAGTGTCAAATGACGGTCCGTTACGGCCTGTAACCCAAGTTGACAAAAGAGTTGCGGATGCTCTTGGCATTGGTCGTGCAACGATGTCTCATTTAATGCAAGAAAAGTATAGCAAGCCATCATCAAGTCAAGCGATAGAGGAAAACACGGAAAAGAAATGTCGTATTTCTGGACGATACGTGGCTTAATACGAATCACACCGTACCGAAAGCGTGGAATGATGACACGGCACAATCAGTCACCAAATTACCCGAAGACAAAGGACAACGATGATTGCGCACGCAGGGACGGCAAACGGTTTCGTACCCAATTGTTTGTTGGCTTTCAAATCAAGAAACAAAAACAACAGAATATCATGAGGAGATGAATTTCGAAAAGTTCAAAGAGTGATTTTTAATATTACTGGAAAATCTTCATGAAACACATATGATTATTATGGATAATGTTCCGCACTATTCTCCAACATCCAGCAGCGGAAAACTGGAGCTTACAGTTTTGCTGCAGAGCAAAGGCTTGAGCCAATTAAAATATGTTGAAACACGAATTGATCCGATTAGTGAAAGAAAACAAACCCAGAAAGCCAACCAACATTTTGGATGAAACCGCTGAACATAGCCATACGGTGCTTAAATTGCCTTCATATCATTTCCATTACAATGCCATCGAACGGATTTGGGCTCATGTTTAATTTTTTTAGATAATTTTTCTCTTTCAGCCAATCATAACACATCTCCACCGTTTACGGCTAATAAAATGCTGACTTTATTGAGAAATGCCTGTGATAATGTTACTGCGAATGACTTGAGAAAAGTCGTGGAACACACAAAAAATATATATGTATACTGAAAGACTGGGAGCGAGATGTCAACTTTGACAGAGTTTGTGAACAAGAATTAATAATCAACGTATGGTAGGTACAGTTCAAGCAGTGATCCTAGTGAAGATGATGATGATAATAATAAACTTGATTTAGGTTGTACACCACTATTTTAATAATAAATAACTTTAAGCTACAATTCCTTGTTTTATTTCACACTAAGCCCTTTCACAAAAAATATTTTTAGATCGCATGACTTGTACCAAATATAAATTTTTATATTATATAAATAAATAAGAAATTGTTCAAAATTCCAAATCCATATAACATAAACATTCAACTATCGATTGCAAGTTCTATGAGAATAATAATCGAATAGATTCACCTCATCACTACAGTGACCTGTCAAAATTATCAAGCTAAATTTGACAGAGTATAAACTATATAGTAGGATTAAAGTCCGATAGTGGACTTGAATCTGGCACAGCTGAAATAATCTTCAATCGAAGAGATAAGTGTGTGCAAAAACATTACATTGGGCACGTTAAATGAAGCATGGACGTGTTGCACTATATACAGGGTTATTTGGCAATAACCGGTCAAATTTGCAGAGAGGGTTCCGAATAAGTAATATAGGCAAATGGTAAAGAAAAATTAATAAAAAAAATCTCAAACATTCTGTACTTTTTATGTTTTAAATTCAAAATGCGTGGTAAAAAATTTTAACTGATGTTACTGCGCACGCACACATTCGTAAGGGCATCTGTTGGCAAAAACGTTGTTGCCCATCACATCACAATTTGCCAATCACATTAAATTCTTTTTTAAATTATAAATATAATAATAATAATAATATTATAATTAGTCTTATTTACTTGTATTTTCAAAAACTGCAATAACTTTATACCATTATTTATATTATGAACTTAAGTTTAAAATATGGCTACTCTTTGAAAAATAACCGTGTGTATATTGCGTAGTTGATGTCTTATATCATGGTATTTGTTTGTTGTATGAAGGATATTATATTATTCCTTCTTCTTATCAGGCACCAACAGTCTTCTGCTGGACATAGTCTACGACTTGTCATCGTAATCGCCGCCATTGATTGCAGTGATAGCGATAGGTACAATATATACTTTGCACTTTTGACGATGTTCGTCCCAACTGGTCTGGGTATTATCCATATTATGGTATATAGTTTATACGATATATGTGATGGTAAACTACTATACTTCGGAAGTTATTAGATCTTTCTGGCGTTTCCTATAGTCACCTTTTACGATGCTAACAGGATAATAATTATGTGCTCTTACGCCGTCGCGTCGTCACGTCATGATATTTTATTTGGTTTTTTTTTCATCGGCTCATTATATTTATTTACTTATCATAATTATACGCAATATGTTTCTACTAAAAGTGGATACATAAGAACACTGAGGAAATTAGTTATATTTATTTTAGCATAAAAAAACCCTTTTACTAATTTATCGCGTTTAGATTCTTTAAATTTTTTCTTTGCAGCACTTGAAGTCACGAAGGGTATATGTTCCGATATCGTAGTAGAATATCATGACGTTAAGCCCAATAACCATAGCAATGATTCTAAGCATTTTGATATTCAATGTTTTTTTTATAAAACTGAATTGACAAATGAAGGTGAGTGTTCACCACTGAAATATGATAATATTACTCTTATAAAGTTGCGTATATTATAGAACGTGGAGGTGGAGTCAAACCGGTTTTTCAATAGAACAATACAGTATAAATTTTTCCTTAGCATTCGACGGTTTATGAATGACGTCACATCACAACGTGTTGATGACGATATGAGAATTTATTATATAATAGCAGGTGACCCCACCTACTTCGTTAGACGTCACAAATTAAAAGGGGATTGTGGCCGTGCACGCAGTAAGCGAACATTAATACAAAATACCGGCTCTTACGCAACATGCGATCTGAATTACGAGTATCTTTGTCACGTGCGCTGTATATACATTAGAGACTACATTAGGTGGTGTTTGTGCTGTTAATCAGTTTGCTTTTACAACTTTATGGGACTCATAGCTTGCGGCATATAAGTGGGACTGGAGATTATGATGATGACTGATGATAATGAATGAATGAGGGCTTAGTTCATGACTGAAGGTCAGGTTAGGTACGGTGTTCCTACTTGTGAGTCAGTGTACACATGAGCTTTGTAACCGCTGTCCGAGGATGTACGGAATACGGAGCTCAGCTCTGACGACTTTACTCGTGTGGTCAAACCGCTCAGGTACGCGAGTGTGCGGTAATCGCAGTGTAGACAATCTAGGCAAGTCTCACCTACAGTCCTAACCTTATTGTCACTGTGTCACTAGATTTATGTGTAGTGCTATTGTGTGACGGGGCTGTGACATTTGAGTCGCCGGGATCGAGCGGAACTGTGCATTCTATTAATACGTTGCTAACTTCGAGGTCAACGCTCAACATGCCTATTGTTTCTTTTTAAAATATGAGTGTGTGAGTGCACGTTTGTATG